TAGTCCTTATATGTGGACTACTTGGTGGATAAACTGATTCACCAAACTTATTCAGACTTTTTCTTTAGACTTATCTAAAAGTTCAATTCTTAATAGTCATTTATAAGAATTGTATCTGAAATATTTTATTTAATCGTGTCATTTGAGCCAGATAGTCAATTTAAGGCTCGAACTTTTTATTTTGATGCCATGAATATTTTTTGGAACTAACAAAATTATTCTTTATATGCTGTTGTAATTGCGTATATTATTTATATAATATGTTCTGTGAATTATATTCAGTTTCATATTCTAATTTATATAATATATATAATAAATATAAATATAATTTAAGTACGTAGTTTATTTCGGTATTTTATTATTACTATAATTGTATAGCCGATTTATTTTTTCTATTTACTAGCCGTTCTTTAATATGCATTCTAGTTATATATGTTACTTTTATGCTATGCACATGTCTGTATGTATTATTTTGGCAAAGTGTTCGACTCACAATCTGTGGGTCGTGGGTCCGAATCCAGAGGCGTTGTTAGGTGATTAAAAGGTTCAGGGCTCGAGTCCATAAGTGCAGGAATTTTCAGTGTTTTAGTATAATATCGATCATGGTTTTCTATTATTATTTTTCAAGACACCAAATGAAGATTCGGGGCACTGTAACATATAGTCGGGGCATAGCGCCTAGCGACGCCCCTGCTGCGCTCTATTTTGTAACATTACATTTTAATTCTGGCATTGTTGGGTACCTTTTCTAATACATATATATTATGGCGTCAAGAAATTAATGTCGCGTTTTGGAACACTTTCATTAACCATCCCCCAAAAAACGTACATCACGTATAATAATTAAACGAACCGCCTAAACGTCAAGTTAGTGTAGCCTATATATGTAAAGTTTAGTATACTCTAATCCCTTATAGTTACGGCACACAACGAGACACACACATTCGGCAGGTAATGCTGTTTGAATACAAGAAGGAAAATAACGCCTCTGTAGCCACAAAGAATATCAACGAAGTTTATGGAAATGTTCTGAACGTTCGTAAGTGTCAACGGTGGTTCAGCAAATTGTGTTCAGGTGACTTTAGCCTTAAAAACTGTGATGGCAAAGGCAGACATGTTGGAATTGATATTGATGCTCTGAAGACGCTTGTTGAGTCTAACCCAAGGCAACGCACTCGTGAAATAGTCCTGAAATTGCATGTCTCTCATGAAACTATACGTAAATATCTAAGGAATATAAGAAAACTCCATAAAGAAGGTGTTTAGATGCCTTACACGCTCTCCGATGATCATCGTTTCCAACGTGTGAACGTTGCTTCGTCTCTTCTGGCACGTAATGCGCGTGAACCATTTTTGGACAGAATTGTCACCGGTGATGAAAAATGGATTCTCCATGCGAATATTAAATGCCAAAAACAATAGCTCAATCCTAGACAAAAACTACTTCCGACCCCAAAACCTGGACTCCACCCGCAGAAAGTGATGCTTTGCATGTGGTGGGACATAAAAGGAATAATTCATTTCGAACTCCTCAGTCCACAGTGAACTGTCAAT